ATCACTTTGGCCACTTCCCTTGTTAGAGTTGCCGTCTATGACTAAAGAAAATATTGCTGAGCTGCGTCAAATCGCGGCGCCGCTAGGCATATCCATGCCCTTCAGGCATTGAAGCGACCTACGGCACAATGGGACGATTTATTAGTTTACATTCTAAGTAGCAAGCTCGACACGCTTACCTCGCGGGAGTGGCAGCTGTCGTTGACGGGAGCCGCGTTGCCTACCTTGAAGCAGTTTACGGATTTTGTGACTCATCGATGCATAACGCTCGAAACTAGCAGTAAGAACAAGAATGTAAATGTGCGTCCCCAGTCACAGGCGAATTCAAAGCAGCAATCGTGCGTCGCGTTCGTAAAGGGAAAGTGCGTATTCTGCAAGGGGGAGCTTCTCGTGTATCATTGCGAGAGTTTTATCGCGTTATCCGTCTCACGTAGGATAGCCGAAGTAAGAAAGCGCAAGCTTTGCGCCAATTGTTTGCGCTCAGCGGATCATACCACGAATAAATGCCCTTCAGGCAATTGCAAAATCTGCAAGGCGAAGCACAATACCTTGCTGCATCTCGCCGCTGCGCCAGCAAAATCGGATGAGATCGACTCGCAAGATAATGCCGCCAATGATTCGGCGGCGGCCGCCAACCCCCCCGCCGTCGTCATGAGCAGTACTGCTTCCGCCGGCCGCGACGCCATCATGCTCTCAACTGCGGTCGCGTTTGCACAGGACGGCGAAGGCCATTGTAAGGCGTGTCGCATATTATTGGACTCCGGATCGCAAGCGAATTTCGTCTCGCGGAAATTTGTAGACTCGCTCAAGGTCGAGATGCGGCCGTTGGACGTATCCATCTCAGGCATAAATAATACCGCGACGCGCTCATTTCAAGCAGCTCACGTAACACTGCATTCCTGAACGAGTGCATTCACCATTACATTAAATTGCATCATAACCGAGCGCGTAACCGGTAAGCTTCCAGCAGCGTCGTTCAAGCGAAGTGCATTTGAAATTCCGCGGAACATCGAATTGGCCGATCCGCAGTTTCACATTGCGTCGGAAGTTGACATTCTGATCGGCGCGGAGCATTTTTGGAACTTGCTCTGCGTAGGACAAATCCAAGCATCACCGGCATGCCCCACCTTGCAAAAGACCGCTTCGGTTGGATACTGGCGGGCCGTTCGCGCAACGTGTCAGGGACGTCGGCGGGTGCGCAGTCTTTTCACGCGTCAATTACTAACACGCAATTACACGAGCAATTGGCGCGATTCTGGGATGTAGAAAATGTAGCTGCTGCATCCGACACGCGTACGGCTGAAGAAGCGTATTGCGAGGAGCATTTCATCCAGAACATGTCCCGCAACGAGCAGGGTAGATTTATCGTGAAGCTGCCCTTCACGGAATCGGGGGCGCATGCGTTTGTCAATTCCAAGAACATTGCTCTAAAGAGATTTGGAGCCGTCGAAAGACGGCTTAGTCGCGATTCGAGCCTCGACGAGCGATACTCTCAATTCATGAGCGAGTATATCGCTCTGGGTCATATGAGGCAGATAGATGAAAAAGAGGGGGAGGACTCAGAGTCCTTTTACTTACCGCATCACTGCATTAGTAAGGCGCCGGCATACGGTAAATTTCGTGTAGTGTTCGATGCATCCGCCAAGGACGCGGCGGGAGTTTCCTTAAACGACGTGCTTATGGTCGGCCCGACAGTGCAGCAGGATTTGTTCACGATCCTGTTGCGCTTTCGCACGTTTCGTTACGCGTTATCAGCCGACGTTGTAAAAATGTACCGTCAAATACAGGTGCATCCGTCGCAAACGCGCTATCAACGTATTCTTTGGCGTGACGAATCCGCTTCTAACATAGCGGCATACGAACTACTTACGCTGACTTATGGCACGTCCCCAGCATCTTTCTTGGCCACGCGATGTCTCACGTGGTTAGCGGAACATTCCGCAGCCGAATGGCCCCATGGCGCGATGTGCATCGGGCGCGATTTTTATGTCGACGACATGCTCACCGGAGCCGACACAATGACGGAGGCACTAACGATACGCAACGAAACGATTAAGGTACTGCGCACAGGTTCCTTCGAGCTTGGCAAATGGGCATCCAGTCACCCGGAATTGTTGGTGGGAATCAAAAATCAAAGCGATAATCCGGTAGTGATTCAAAATAATCCGGAGTCGTCCGTGTTAGGCATCCATTGGATCCACTCGCGCGACGCGTTCCGTTTCTCTTACAACCCCGATGGAGACGCCACAGTGGTTTCCAAGCGAAACATATTATCGGAAATTTCGAGGCTTTATGACCCTCTCGGGCTGCTAAGTCCAGTGATCGTTCAAGCAAAATTAATTTTGCAGGCGCTTTGGCAAATGGGCGCTCATTGGGACGAGTCCATCCCTCAAGACCTGCATACGCGGTGGGCAGCAATTAAATCACAGCTAGCGGACATTAATCAGCTCTACATTCCGCGATGCGTTAAGTATTTCGCGCGATTCGGCCTAGTGCAGATGCATGGGTTTTGCGATGCAAGCCAGCGAGCGTACGGGGCATGCGTTTATCTGCGATCCGAACTCGAGAATAATGCATATCGTGTTGAGCTTTTATGTTCCAAGTCCCGCGTGGCGCCTCTCAAGGCCCTGTCGCTGCCGCGGCTCGAGCTTTTAGCAGCGCTTCTATTAGCCCGATTAATGCGCAAGATTCAGTCAGCGCTTGACGTATCCGGCATGCAAGCATCTGTGGTCGGATTCAACGATAGTACTCAATTGGATATCGTCCCCGTCGCGAAAATGGTCGGTATTCGTGGCACACAGAATCGGCGAGATTTAGGATTTAACCGACGCGGGAAATTGGCGTCACGTCAGATCGGAAGATTATTGTCCCGCGGGTTAGACCCACACGACCTAGCGAGGTCGGCAATGTGGTGGCATGGGCCAGTCTTTTTACAGCGCAATGAAGAATTGTGACCCAACTCCGAGTTCGCGCGCGCCCTGCAGCACGATCTTCCGAAGCAGAGGAAATGCGTTGCGGCAATGGCAATCGCCGAGTATTCTATCGTCAACGAGCTACTAACCCGGCACTCGAAAATCAGTAAGACGTGCCGAATAATCGCGTATTGCCTAAGATTTTCCGGATCGCGACGTCCTCGCGAGCCCGGGAGGCTTATCGCGCCGCAAGAGATGCTAATCGCGCTACAAATCATATGCAAATCAGTGCAGGGGCAAGCCTTTTTCGAGGAATACGAGGCGCTCTGCCAGAGACGCGCCATTAGTGCATCGAGTGGTGTGCTGGCCCTGTCCCCCTTTATCTCCGAGGACGGACTAATGCGGGTGGGGGGTAGGCTGGCTGAATCGGCATTGAATTATGACGCGCGTCATCCGATTTTGCTACCCCGAAACCATGTTTTAACCCAGCGCATAATACGACAGGAACATGAGCGCAATGCTCACGCGGGCTTGCAAGCCACCATGGCGGCGGTGAGGCAACGTTACTGGCCGATATCATTAAGATCGACTGTCAGAAAGATAATAAGAAATTGCGTCACCTGTTTTAAGGCGCGACCCGCTCAATCCCACGCGATCATGGCGCCTTTACCTGCGGGACGGGTGACACCGTCGAGGCCATTCACACATTGCGGCGTCGATTATGCCGGTCCGTTTACGGTTCGCGAATCCAAGAGGCGAAATGCCCGCACTCATAAGGCATACTTGGCGATATGTATGCTTCGCCACGAAGTGCGTGCATTTGGAGCTTGTGGGCGACCTCACCACAGATGCATTCATAGCCGCGCTAAAGCGATTCGTGTCGCGCAGAGGAAAGCCATCCTGCATTTATTCCGACAACGGAAAAACATTCGTAGGCGCCCAAGGGCAACTAAAGGAGTTCTTCAATCTTTTGCGCAACGAACAAACCCAGATCGATATAGCACATTTTTTACGTGATCAGGAAACTGTTTGGAAATTTATTCCTCCGTA